ATAGTAGGCAATTTCATTAATTACACTTGCTTTTTTTATTTTTTAAAATATTCTGTTATTTTTTCAATGACATCTCGTCATAGATTTTTCTTGTTTGATAAAATAATTGCGCGCTCATGACACAGAATCTGCTGGATGCAAACCTGAACCCCTATGCTATAGACTCACATATATATGACAAATATGATTTGAATCAGAGTATACGCCGACTAAAACTGCTTCACTATCACCGAATAATTGAATTAAATCAGTACCAGTTTCCGGGAAAATTCAATAAAAATTGAATTCGTGAAATGGATGAATATAAAAACTCAATAATTGCATTTAACATTTAGTTTCGAAACGAGAATACGACATACGGTCTTCGAGGTTGGGTTATTTAATATGTATACGTATATTTTTTAATGCTTTAAAACGTATAGTTATGTTAAATTAATATAGGTTTTTGGACACTACTATTAATATACTTTAAATTTCTATGATACCCACAGATAAATATTTTTATTCACAATATTAAAAAGGAAAAAGAATTAAATTCCACTAGGAAAAACATTTTTATTTTATAGAGGAAATAAAAAAGATTAACCAAAAATTATAAATTTAGTATTTAAAGCAGAAGAAAATATATAAAACAACCAATTATGTAAATATACAAATTGTCATGGCTGGATGAGGGATCCAGCAATTGAAATCCCTAACTTTAACTCAACTTTTTAATATTAAATTGTTGGCAATAAAAATACAATAACTAAATTATGTACTGCGTTTGAAGTATATATACATATACAGGGTGTCACGTAATTAGACTGTCCTGATGACACATTTTTGTAAATATTTTCTAATCTTTTAGAGATAACTAAGTGAAATTTGGTACAAATGCTAAACTTTTTACACTCTATTTAATGGACTAAAGACCAGTTTTTGATTATCATTATAGGTGGGTAAATTAGGGGAGGGGCTTAGGGTTAAATTGTCCTGTTTTTGACATTTTTTACTACAAAATTTGGAAAACCAATATTTTTTTTATGAAACTTGGAGTTCTTCTAATTCACTATCAAGGAGTTTCAATTAAGTTTTTGAGTACCTCTAACCGTTTTCAAGATATTAAGCATTCATAAACCCAGTACGTCTAATCATACTGTATGTCATGTGTATTATTTCTCCTCATCGCCATCTAGAAAGTCCAGGCTATTCTGTAATGTACGTGTCATCATTGTCAACATATTCTATATTTAAGCACGACATTCAAGCATGGTAGTCAAGCACGACTGACTATAGCAATAGCTAAGTTGTCGAACAATTTTGTCCAACTTTCTTAAACGGCCTGACAGAAGCAAACTTCCGTCTTTTTTACAAGGGGGAAAAATCAAATATTTAAATTGTTTGATTTACGCCATCTGTATCTGTAACGTGTGGAAGGTGGGTTACCCCACGAAACTTAGGCCTCACTAGGCCCATTGTGCATCCTCCTAAGATGATAGGCACCTCCTAGCCCGTGAGCCAGCCTACAGATTTAATGTAGTTGACAACGTCACCAAGAGGTGCTTCTCTAATATCGGCCCATATTAGCCGATACTCGCCGAACACAAATCTTCTAATAAATGAGAGCGTTCGGGTAATTGTTCGCACCCCCTGCAGAGTGTGGATTCTGACAACCCAATGATATGGAGATGCTTCACTACTTGGTAATAAGCAGTCAGATTACCTATGACCAAGCGCAGATTCTGTCTCGTTATAGTCAAGTATTTATTTGCTGTAGTGATGTCAGGATAACTTAAAAGTTCCCAGCAACTCTGCAGTTTCTTGTTTCATCTTATCTTTCTTCGAATTTCACAAGGGAATGTTCTTTAATTAGGTCTATCACTACCGATTTTGTCAAGCGAATAGAAGGACTAGGTCCAAAAAGTATTTGGTTGACTGCTTTCTTGGCAAGTGAATCAGCAAGACGGTTGGTTACCATTCAATGTGGCGTGACCTTTGATCCATCTTAAGGTGACCACATTGTTGATGGATACTTCGGCCAAAACTTTGTGACATTCTAGTACTAACCCTGAGTAAATTCATGGTCTGTTCAGGGCGAGTAGTGTTTGTCTGCTATCTGTATAGATGAGCATGTTCCTTTTAGTAATTATTGTTTCTGGTGATTTCTTTTGCTTCTATGAGAATCCCCGTGTGCTCTGTTTAAATTACATTGGCACTATTGTTCATGGCCTATTTTATGTTTAGGTTTAGTGTAGATATGAATCGTACCTGTAACTTTCGGCTTTTCTATTTGCTGTGTTATAACTTTATATGGCTTATGGAAGATATATTTCGGTGAGACGGAGATGTTCGCTTGGAGAAATGGGAGCGTATCGAGCACCTTCTGCCTAAAGCTACGTCTCGCCTCACCAGATCCTATATCAAGTACTATTCCAACCATGCGGAGGCGTGTCATTATCATCAGAACAACCTCCTTGATGTAAATATCAAGGGTAGTGAGACTAAGAATAACTTCCATAGCTTTGGTTGGTGTGGTTTTCATGGCTCTTCCTATGTTGAGATATGCTGTTCTCTGACTTTGATCTAGTTTGCGGATAGCTATCAATTTTTGGGTTTTCGGTACCCAGACAACTGCGCCGTATGTTAGCATAGTTTTATATTGGCCGTGTAAGTCCATGCGACCACTCTGGGGGAAAAACTTCAGGTGCGCCTCCTTTCTAAGTGTAAGTTCCATGTTAACTTGCTGTCAAATGTGAGACCTAGGTACTTTACCTTTGTTGTTTTGTAGTTCTGGAGGCTTTAATTACATTTTCATCCTTTTCCTCGTAAAAAGAACCATGTCTGTCTTCTTGCGATTGATAGGCAGTGAATGGTCTTTGTACCACTGTTCTATCATTTTGAGAGCTACTTGCATCCTTTCATAAAGTATGTTCTCAAAATTCCCTGTTTGCAGAATGACAGGTCATATACATATGTTATTGTTATAGTAACTGTTATTATTGAGGCGGCTGATGGTTTCAAGGTCCATGTTACACAGTGGAGGTGAAAGCACCCCTCCCTATAGACATCCCCTCGCATCCAAGCCTCTTATACGATTTACACCAATCAGCACAAATGTTTGCAAGAAAATTTTTTTTCGACATACAGTTTCATAATTGAGTCAAGTTTATTCTAGCTATGTATGATGCTCTCAAAACAGAAACTTCCACCAACAATTACAGGTGTTTCACATTCATTAGTTCTACAAAACTTGCAAACAACTGTAAAATTATCATCACTTCCTCCGATATATTTAGCTGAAGACTGAAGAGGTCTATTGAGCACATAATTTTCGTCTAATCAAGTTGAAACTTGATTAGATTATAAAGAGACATTATAATATCGTTTATTCAACACACATTACAGTTAGCAATATTAGTAATATAATAATTTAAATTCTAATCATTAATTTGATGTTTGAACAAACAGTGTAACCCACTCAAGTCCCTTAGGGATGCGCGTGGGTCGTTGAGTATTTATTTTACATTTTAATGACTGTGCCTAGTTATATTTTAAATTGTTTACTTATTTTAATTTAAATGTAAATTACAATTTGGATATGTATTTTTAAAAATATTTAATTTTAAACATTAAAATATATTGAATGAACTGAACTAAAATAACAATAATAAAAATAAGAATAATATTAATAATAATAATAATAATAATAATAATAATAATAATAATAATAATAATAATAATAATAATAATAATAATAATAATAATAATAATAATAATAATAATAATAATAATAATAATAATAATAATAATAATAATAATAATAATAATAATAATAATAATAATAATAATAATAATAATAATAATAATAATAATAATAATAATAATAATAATAATAATAATAATAATAATAATAATAATAATAATAATAATAATAATAATAATAATAATAATAATAATAATAATAATAATAATAATAATAATAATAATAATAATAATAATAATAATAATAATAATAATAATAATAATAATAATAATAATAATAATAATAATAATAATAATAATAATAATAATAATAATAATAATAATAATAATAATAATAATAATAATAATAATAATAATAATAATAATAAAATAATAATAATAATAATAATTAATAATTGTCATAGTAACAATAACTATGATAACAATAACAATGACAAATAATAACCATAATAACAATAATCACCATAATAACAATAATCTTAGAAACAACAATTATTATTATTATTATTATAAAATAGAATCTAGCAGTCTATAGGGTTGTGATGTAGCTTAAAAACATGTATATATGATATGATAATTGAATCAATTTTACTATAATTTAATTAAATAATTCCGAAAAATAATTAATATCTGTATTTAGAATAAATGTTTTAATATATTTTTTTAATAAATTTATCGAGTTTATAGTTGTTAAATAAGTTCTATACATATCCGGAAGAAGATTAAAGATTTTACTACTCAAATAAACGTAATATCTTTGACCAATACTTTTATTAATTTGGGGAATATAACATTGTACCCATCTATTTTAAATATTGTAAAATCAGGAATATTTAAAGTTTCTGTCAAAACAATACAATCAAATTTGTGATTTAGTTGTGAAAAGAATATGCTTAAATCATCTAAGTTTTTGTTTAAACTACAAATATTTTGATGAAATAATAAGAAGTTATGTAAGGGTATTTTTTTATATAATTCATTGATTTCCGTAATTGAATTCAATTCCAGAGTTTCAAATGGTTTATAATTTACATTTATTATATAAGGATCCATATTATTGATATATTATTAGTTATTTTTGACGTTTTATGGTTTTGTTTTAGAATAAGTACAAAAAGGAATAATAATAAGTATTCAGATTATTATTTTTTAGTAACTTGATAAAATTAGGAGTTTTATAATTATAATTTCATATGTACCAAGAATTAATCATAAATATAAAAAGAAATAGTATACAATATTATTTATCCGTGGTACTACGAAGACGATACGTTGTTTTCGTCAGCTCTGGAACAGTAGTTTGGGACAAATGTGACTCCCTTACTTTGATGTTGGTTTTTTCCGTTTATACCTTGATCTTCACTGTTTTTCTTGAATAAGTCCTTTTTTTCAAAGGTATTTTCTTCAATCAAATTCTCATACGTGTATGTTTTACCATTTACAATTAGTTTGTTGTTTTTGATGTAAGCAGAATGATTTTTCCCTCTTGCCAATACTAAATGGTTACGTAATGCTTTTCGTTTTTGATATTCAACTTTTGTATACTCGGGAGAGAAATATATTCCCTTACCTTTTAGCAATGTTCCTGACTTTTTTAGTATAATTTGCTTTAATTCGAAGTTAATTAATTCAATGGATACTGGACGATTTTTACCAGTATATTTGACTCCAATTCTATAGCAATCCTTAATATCCCATCTCTCACATTTCACATTAAGTTTGTCTTCGAGCATAAGTAACACTTCATCTTTTGGTTCTTTATCAGTTTCTTGTACACCATATAAAATTAAATTATACTTTTTGTTATTATTTTCAAGAGTTTGTAACTTTTTTCCAATTTTTTATTTTCAATATCCAATTCAAGATTTTTTTGTATGACGGAGAAGTGGGAATGAGCTAGTAAGAACGACATCTTGGAGCCAGCACTAACATTAAATATTAAATACATTTTTTTGAAAATGTTCAAAAGATTGCAGGGTGAAATGTGAGTGAAAGAAGGTTAGGCTAGGGTCAGTCATCCTTGAATGCAGAACAACCTGACATTTTAAATGGCGATGAAGGACTAATACACTTGGCATACAGCATAGATTAGATTTTAGTAGGGAAATTAATGCAGTTATACTTAATATATGTAATATCTCGAAAACGTTTGAGGGTAGGTACGCAATACTTTATACTTAGGACCGTCTTGCTTGATAGGGAACTCATAATAAGTATTATTTCCGTTTCACGTCATATAAAAGAAAATAATCACTAAAAAGCAGATTCCGCGCTTTATTTCCTAAGGAATACTCAAAAATCTAGGTGACAAGTTGATGGAATACCAGTAAAATGTATACTTCGTATTTTTATTTCTAAAGAACTTTCTTTGTCAGCACAGTTTAGAACCATCCTGAGGTCCCCTACTTATGTAGCGTCAATATTACATTCGTGCCGACGGAAAAATTATTTTACCCGCACTTTTAAAACATGTCTCCAGGTTTTTGTTAATTTTAAATCCGAATACAAAAATTCTTTGTCTGTGCAAGTGTAAATATGCTCAACTTAATCCTATGACTAGTTTTCGAAATTAAAGTTGAAAATTGCCTAGTTTTTCGAAATTTTTATTTTCAAAACTTACGAGCTAGATTGAATTTCTCTTATATAAACACTTTTGCTACATGTTTTAGTAATACATACGTATAATTAAAAATATTTTTAGTTACCAGGTGATTCACAAATGTATAACGGTAGTTTTTCCAAAATCTCACTAATTTTACTGTGACGTCAGGGAAGAATATTTTTAAAAAATACTGCACAATATGGTATTTTGGCAACAAAATATTATACAATACATTTCCTATACAGGGCGTTCTAATAGAAACAGTTAGATTACTCTGTATATTTCAAAATCTTATTGGTACATACCTACCTAATGTAATGATATTAACTTACTCAAAAGTCACTAAAGAAATGCAAGGTCGTCTTTTTAATAATTTCAAAACATAATTATTTTTTGATGGTTGGCTGGATGGCTCACCCTGTATAAAAAGAAATTAATGAAATAATTTCTCTGTAGCGCAAATGTAGTTATTTAGTGTTTGCAAAAATATATTATTATTGTGATTTATTTGTGAAACACCCCGTAACAATTATTTTTAACCATTAGCGGATTGTGTCCAAAATATTGGGGGTTCACAATAACAGAATATAGATATGTATTAATATAGATGTGTATTAGTACAGATGTAGGTAAAAATTTTCAGTCTTCGGTATTATATACCTTTCTATACCTATACCTTTCTAAAACACTGAAAGTTTTTACCTACATCTGTACTGATATCAGTATTCTGTCATTGTGAACCACCAATATTTTGGTCACGAGCCGCAACTGTTTTAAGCTGTCCCTTGTATTGTATTTACCCAAAACTTAAATTCAATTTATATATTCTATATAAAGACAATTAAGCTTTTTAGTTTAAAGAAAAAATAAACTAAATTCAACAATTCTCCACTTTAACGCCATGTATCTCGGATTTAAAATACATAACTCTTAAAACGGTGTTAAAATTATTATATACCGAGAAAAGTTTAAGGTGTTTGTGGTTTTTGTACTTTTATTAAAATAGAATATCTTCCAACAAATAAGCCGCCTTGTATATTTTGAAGCTTAGAGGTACGAATATTTTAGTGATCAATTTATAGTACAGGGTTTTGAAGTAAACCCTAAAAAAAATTATTTTGTGGTTCTGACTATAAAACGTCCTGTATAAGAAATGTGTATTGTGCAATATGTGGTCAACAAAATACCATATCGAGTAGTACTTTTTGAAAAAATGCTTTTCTTATGTCATACTAGAATTAGTGAGATTTTGCAAAAAAATACCGTCACATTTGTGAACCACCTTGTAATTAAAAATATTTTTAATTGTACGCATGTCATAATATATTACAAAAATATTAAACGCATTAAACGTGTGTATGCAATAGAAACTCAATCTAGCTCGTAAGTTGGAAAATAAAAATTCCGAAAAATTGGGCAATTTTTCAGTACCTATATCATACAAATATGATAATTATGGGACGTCTTGCAACACTGTTCTCGCTGTTGACATGATTTCTTATAATTTTAGTCGAGTGACATATAGAGAGTGCTCTCACACTCATTTTCCCATAGTTGGAAAATAGGCTCCCAGATTGTTGTGCTGATAGATGTATCTTATGACACCAAAAATGTTTGCCGAATTTAATAAAATTATTATAAGAAATAAAAAAATTATAGCCCCATTAATAATTTTTGATTTTTCAACTTTAACATTTCGGAAACTACTATTTTATGTGTGTTTCGTTAAATCGTCTTAATTTTATTCATAGAATCTTTAGTTATTATGTGTCCCATTCTTAATGAGACACCCCCCGCATATCAACAAAGCTAAGAAAAATTCAAATTTTAAATCTAACTTACCTCCACGTGAGATCAGTATAAGGCCACTTGGACCCATGTAGCGTGAACCTTTTCGACCTCGACCGCATAACCCTGTCCGGCATGCCACACCGCGGTGTATTTATCAACTTCAAAGTTCTGTTATCAAGCCGGCCCGTCGCCGGCAATCCTGCGAACTCCTGCAACTCCCGAAGGGAATTTTGTACGGATTCTTCGGTGCGAAGCGCGAACGCGCCATCTTTCGATTTTTCCATATAACCGTAATTCATTAGATAGACTTCCTGTAACAAAAAGAGAGAAATGATAATAGGAAACTGTAATCAACAGGATAAACAGTGTGTATTCCTCGACATAGATGGCGATGGTTGGAGCATTAGCTTCTATTTATTTGAATACTTTTTTGGTAAGATAGGGTGTTCCTAAACATCATGTCATAATAATTGAAGGAGGTAATTCCTTGGCACAATTTATGACTAAAAGTTTATATATACATACATCTGTCCTAAATTGCTTTTTCAAATTTTTAAAAATATCCGATTTTGATGAAACTTGGCATATTCATTTGTTGTAGTAAGAGGCTACTTTTGGCCTAGTTATATCTGAATTATTAAATCCAATATGGAAAAACACAGTGGCGTGCTTTTTTTTGTCAAAAATATCAATAAGGTTGTCTTTGGGTACTGCACTGGAACTGATAATTTCGATCTAATCAATTCTAAATCAGCCTCTTACTTAAACAAACAAATGTAGGTACCAAATTTCATCAAAATCGGCAAAAGAGTATTTATGATATAGATGAAGAACTGACTATTTTTGAAAATTTGGATACCCTGTATCTTCGAAACAAAGCAATTTTTAGGACACATGTTTATATGAACTTTAAGTCATAATATGAGCCAAGGTATTATACCTCCTTCAACTATGACATGATGTTTAAGAACACCTTGCATAAAACTCAAACAAAAATTAAACTTATATTAGGAGTTAAGATTACTCATAAAAATCGGAATTTGTAATTTTAAATAGCTGAAATAACTAAAATAATTTTGGTAATATTGTTGACTTGATGTGATGTGATTTACCTATGAAAGAAAATTAATATTTTATGGCCCGGTAAATATAATCCCAGACAGCACACCAAATCCTTTGGATATCTACTGAACATCCCAATATCCACTGAATGTCCAGTCCATGGTGGATATCTATTTTATATCCATAAAATGTAATTTATAGACATGCAAATGTCCATAAATAATAGTAATTATATAGCAAATTATTAAAAAATTACGCCATTGTGCTCGCCATTGTGGCTAATAGTACCGTTCAGATATTTAAAATTAATTTTTTTAAGGTGTATTCAATATCCCATGGACATCCACATATATCAAAGTCTTAGCGCGGACGCAAACCATCGTGGATAACTACTAGATGTAATTTTTGATTTTGCTTCCTAAGTATAGATGGCGATACCACTTTCGTATCTACTCATGCTCAACCCGCCATAATTGAGTTGATCGAACATTTTTTCGTATTAAGACTCTATTAGAGATTGGAGTCGAGAATTTCCATTTATTGCTGAAGAGTCCTAATAAGGATGACTTTTTCCTTAGTGGGCAAACTCAAAGACAGATTGTTGGAAATATTTTTTATCTCTATTTTCTTTCGACGTTATCATTCACGGGGGTTTATATCATATGCACAATACGTAAACACGTTTCTGCGCATACTCCTCCGCGCTTGGGTGCTCTGAAGTCCGTTTTACAATAGCAAAATTGTATTAAAATGTAAAGCACATTGATTAATTTAATAACATCTCGTTCAGTAACACACAAAAAGTGTTGTTTCAAAAATTTTAATTCATATATTACAACAAACTAAAAAAAACATACCTTCACTTAGTTATTTGTACTATGTGAAGATGGCTTTCTGTCTGCTGCATGACTGCTGGCTGCCCGCTATAGCGGGCCCCGCGCGCGCTGTCAACAAATAACATCAAAATCAAACAAATGTGTGGTTATGTTATGATTTGGTTGTCGACGAAAACATGTGAGTGGAACTACTTTTATTTTTTTAGATATAAGTTATTTAGGATTATTTAAAATCAAGTAAAGGTATTTTGATGCTTTAACATGTCTTTACCAGGCAGAATTCATTATAAACGCATAATTTCTAATTGTTATAGTACATTTTATAAGGCCCATTCCAAACGTAAATTTTAAGAAGAAACATTTTTAAATTTCCTTCTGATATTGATCAAAGAACGGAATGGTGTCGTATTTTAAACATTCCACTTACAACCCCAATCATTATACATTATGTGAAAATTATATTTTGATACAAAATTGTTTACAAACACAAATCGTTCAAGACTGCTAAAAGATTTGCTTTACCTTGCTTTAGCATCCTCAAAACCAGATACACCAAAGATAGTAGTACTTAGTAATATTGTTATCACACCTCCAAACAGAGTCCTGTGTGGATAAAGTTCATTTTAATAATATATACAAAATTAATAAATGAAGCAGAATTTGAGTCAGGCCACTAGTTATGTTGCAGGGTTTATTAAGAAACTTAATAGTTTTGACTGCAAAGAGTGTAAAGTTAATTTACAGACATGTTAGAAGACCATCGATACTTTTACTTATTTTAAAGAAAATTATGATAAAAGACGTTTTATTTATGTACAAAGAAATGTTATTGAATTTCTTTCAAAAATTCTTGAAATAGTTTCACAACTTTTGGGTCATATTGACAACATAATTCAAATAATTAAACTTTTTTGCCAGACCATGTTGATTTTAAATGGTTTACATCAGAGGCGACTCGTGGCCTAGTCTATGAGGAGACTACTTTTAAAAGGCACACCCTATATACTTAATAAAAATATATGTCTATAAGAATTCAAAAAGCAGAAATATTACATTGTATTCTAATAGAAATATATATATTTGTATAAAGTATATAGGATGAGCCAGCTTCCTCACAGACTAGGCCACAAGCCGTCCCTGGTTTACATATAAAGAACATAAAACAGACGTCTTTTCTCATTTAGTTGAAACTTGTCTACTATTAATAATAAGAAAGTATTATAATGATAGTATGAGGGCTGCTGCAATGTCTAAAAGACAAACAAAATGATTTGAAGTTACTGCATTTAATTTTTTTCTGTTTCAGTTTATATGGATGGTTGCTTTTGTCTGATTTCCTAAGATTCAAGAAGAATTTGTTGTTTTGTTTTTTGTTTATTTTAAAAATTTATTTACTTAGGCATTAGTTTTCATATCAAGTAAATTAAATTTGTTATGCAATTTCTGATTTTTGTTAGCCAAAGATAGTTAACGTACGGAAATAGTAATGTAATGTTTGTGATATTAGAGTAACTTTCTTAAATAATCATTTATAAGACGTCCGGGAGCGCCATAGTAAATAATAATAATAATAGACATTCTTGCTTCGCATAAGCTCGCTTGTATGGGAGTGAAGTATATGAAAAATATTTTTTTGTATTGCCATCTCTTTGATATATTTTTTATTTATTTTTCTTGGGAATTTTTAGTAAATATAATTATATAAAACTTTGTATGATATTTATTTTATCCCTCATAATTATTTGTCATAGAATTTTACATTTTTATTGGGCATTTCATAATTGTTACAAACAGCTAATAAAACAGGAAAATTTTAATTATAATTAAGAGGAAAATTTACTTAAGCAATTATCTTTTTCTAAACAATACGAAATAGAGCCACAAATATTTCTATAGTTTAATTTTGCTTTTTAGTGAATGAAAAATATATACCTTCAGGTAAAAGTGAAATGTCTGTTTTTCTGGAGCCACTATTCCGAAATTTGATTTAATTATTTTCTCAATTTTTGAAATCTTTATAAAAACAAGATTTTGCGATTTATTGCCATCAAAATTTGATTAAATTTTGAAAAAGTGGCTCCAGAGGAACATATTTTAGCTACACGTACATGTTTTTTATTTCACTAAAAAATTAAAAAAATTACTATCAAAATTTTGTATGGCTATATTTCGTATTAGTTAGAAAATAATTGCAAAAGTAAATTCTCCTTTAAAAAAACCCGCCAATTTTCAAATTAAATATAAAATTACGGGTAACTGCATTACCGACAGAGTAAGAGTTGATGGTAATACTGCTGGTAACTACATTACCGACAGAGTAAGATTAGTTCTACTCCTCCACCCCACAGGTCGTTGCAAGCAAACATGTTGCCAAATTTCTACAAAGAAACGGCAACTCTTAATAATCCTTCCTCCATGTTATCATTCATTTGGTTACTTATGAATGTCTACTAAAGATACCTATAAAATATTATGCTGAATTCTATATCCTGGGATATAGACGGACATTTGGTTGGATATCCATATTTGGATATTGGATATCCACAAAATATATTCTGTGGATATCTCTGGGATTTCTTGTATTGTCTGGAAGATACTATTAGATATTTTGCTGAATATCCATAGGATATCTTCTATATTCTGGATATAGACGGACATTTGGATATCCATATTAGATCCACGGAATATTTCTGATATCCTGTGGATATATTGGATATCCACAAAAGATATTCTGTGGATATCTTTGGGATTTGGTGTGTTGTCTGGGATGTGAGTCTAAAATAATGTAGACAGTATGATTCACGAAATAAATCTAAATCTCAATTTGAAAGGGACAGACTTGTGTATTTGGTAAACCTGGAACAGTAATGTAAGGGTAGCTATCAATTAGCAATTTTTACTATAATACAGGGTGTCCCAAAAAAGTAGGCCAATTCGTTAACCATAGATAACTTAGGTCAGTGTATGAAATCTCAATTACTATTTTTTTGATTGGGGCCATTATGTTCAATATACAGGGTGACAAAGATAATCTTAAAAAATACGTTTTTTATCATTTTCGTCGTTTTATTAAGTAGATGGCTTAAAATTGGTATACCGGAGTTTTTTGGGATGACAATTCATAATATCACCTACTTCATAGAGGGACCAAGTAACACACAAAGTTATAAAATGTTGGTATAATCAAAACGTTACAAAACACACGTAAACAACACGTTAAATAATTAAAATTTTTGTAACTGATAGGTATACAACTTTTATAAGATTTAACTAGACTTGTAACAAAGTTATATAAGAAACGTATATATCTAAATTAAGTTGTTTTAAAATGTACAATATGTATGTGGTTGTTATAAAGTTTCTATAACTTTTGAATTACAACAACTTATAATAGATACATATTTACTTAATAA